TGAGAGAGAGAGAGAGCTTTCTTTGGTACAGTAATTACCCAGTCCCTGCCACTCTCTCCTGCCCCCCCCTCCGCTGCAGGCGTGGAAAGGGAAGTTGGGTAGTGCAGCCTGGGCCCCCTGGGAGGTATGTAACCCTAGCCCCTGGGAGGAGCTACAGCTGTGTTATCTGCTTAAACGAAGCACACAAGATCTTTTATAGGGGGAAAAGGCAGTACGCCGCATTTATTGAGACTACAACAATTGCAATGCACATGCACATGCACACACACCAGACGATGTTATAGTTACCAGTACAGATTCTGTATCAGTCTAGTGGCCAGCTAGATTGAACACAGAGGGAGAGCAGGGCCTTGGTTGATGCTCTTCTGGAGTTGGTGGCAAGACAAACCCAAAGTTCCATAGCCAGGCATCCTGCTTTTATAATCCTTTTCTCTGTTGAAGTCTATGGATTTCACTGTGTCAGCCCGTGACCAGAGTGTTATCTTTGGCGTCAGTGTTCCCAAAACATTTTCCAAAGCTCATCCTGTAATCAGTCATCTTTTCAAGGGTGCTAGCTCTGCTTTAAGGCTGTCAATCTGCCAATATCTGATCGTCTTATGAGTAGGGGTCCGCATCAATTATTATAGATGATTTTTCTTTGACGCCGGGCTGTCTCATTTTTGCCCACGCTCACCCTGCCTCCTTTGGCCATCTGGTTCTGAGCAATAACTTTTGCATCTTTATCTCAACATACATGCCTCTTTCACACACAAACAATCTTTTACAAGGACTTCTCAAGGGAGGGCATAGCATCAATATCTACACTGGGCAAAGCAAAAAGGTGTTGTAAATCAAACAATTAAGACCTTAGCCTTCAACATTCTTCTAGTCTCATTAACACAGACACAATATTAGAAACTATCTTTTTACTTAGGCCCATCTACTAAACTCACTAAAATTTAGGACAAAGAAATAAACATTTAACTAAACTTAATTTAATGAAATGTGTATTAACATACACCTTATATTGCTATATTATTGCTACATCATTAAATTATATTGCTAAACCTAAAATACAAATATAAAACTTTTGGTTCCAACAGCTGGAGCAGTGCTACACTCATCCACCAGTAAGCCCTCCGACTCTGACACCTTTCCTAAGCCTCCAGCATGAGTCCCCATGCCCTGATTCCTGCACCCACCCTTGCTGTGATCCCCCTTCCCTGATCTCCCTCACCCCTCTTCCCCTTGTCAAGATTCCTGCACTCCCACCCCCTGTCCTGAGTCCCTTGTCCTGAACCCTGGAGTCTCTTGCTCTGCACCCCCTGCCTTGAGTCCTGCACCTTGCGTCTCCTTGCCCAGACTGCTGCACCTCCCCACCCCCTATACTGAGTCCCCACAAGGACCTGCGCAATGCCAGGTAAAAACTCTAGTCTGCAACATAAGTATGATCTGCCAGTTAGGGGAGTTGCTGATTTATTGGTGGTTTGTGTGACTGACTCATCACGAAATTTTCAAAATTTTCACTACACAAACTGGACCCACTACTCAATTGTTGGAGAAAATCTGAGCATTAGTGCCTCTAATCAACTGCTTACAGTGCAGACTGTGTAGTTAGTCACAAGTATTTGGTTTTGTGTCTGTGGTTCATTTTGTTGGCCCGAATGTTGGCAAAAAGTGAGCCTACAAAAGGAGGTAAGGTTCAGGTGCTTTAAAATGTACTTTTAAATCTGTGTTAGTGAGTGTCATAATATGTTTGTTCAAAGAAAAACATGTAATGATTTGCAGTATACTGAGAGCCTGTTACTGTTGCCTTTACTCTATGCTGACATTTAAATACTGAAGAATTCATTGTTTTTTTTTCCTGAGGCTTTTCATGCAAACGGCAGTAAACCAAATAGTGGGCACCAGACAATACTTCTCCACATTCTTTTATGTTCAGCATTGCTATGTATAAACAGCTCTTTACCACCTGGAGGCTTCTCTTTTTCCATTTATCTTTGTCAGTGCCCTTAACCTTTTGACACCCACTGTCATTGCTGCCCTGCGGGCCTCTTTTCAATTACTGTAGCTAAAAGAGTAGGGAGAGTTAAAGGACACTGAAGGCTACCCGGTTTTGCTGATATCCTGCAGACAGCTTCTAAACACTTCATGGAAAGCTGATTTTAAGCTTACAATTCTGTTGGGTAAGGGAATTTTACTGCAGAATTTGAAAGATGGTCTGCTGACCATTCTTAAATGAAGAGCATTTCCCTTCATTAGCACAATCCCTAAAACAAATCTACAGGTAAGGGACACTTACCACACTAGTAATCTAAAATATGGGGAATGCTTGTTCTGTGGGTCTTTGGGATAGCTCCCAGCATGCCTGGAATGAAATCCTGGCCCCATTGATGTTGATTGGAGTTTTGTCACTGACATTAATGGAGCTAGTATTTCAGTTATAGGCTTCCATTCATCAAAGACTGATAATGGTAAAAGTATGCAACAAGTGAGGTTAAGGACATGCTTCTAAAGTATGTTTTCTCCTGCATTTTTCTTTTATACCAACCAAAAATTAAAGAAGGAGATTGAGCCACGGAGTTCAAATTCAGGTTCGAACTTCCTAGGAATTCAAGATATGTATTCTGCATAGGCCAATTGCAGTAAGATGGCTAAACAGCAAAATTCAGATTTGGATCAGATGTAGATTCAAACTGCTTCAAGGTTGGAATAAGAGATGGGGTCTGGTCTAGGACTATGGTTTGGTTCCATATCTAGTGTGAATGTTAAATGCTATAAAACACAACATATAACCCTCCCCCTACCCTTGTACCTCTCTCCTTCCTCTGTGTGAGTCCTTATTGCTCTTTTATCACCTCTCACCTGGGAATAATGTGCCATGAACCAGGCATAGTTTATATTGTAATTTCTTCTCATCGTTCTATTTTTTTTCAATGAAATTGACTTTAGACCTTTGATAGAAATTAAATGCGCTCTACATTGTTTGTTTCACTAATCTTTAATAATGACTTTCCATTAGTCTCTTGATATTGTAACAGATTAATACATGTAGGGTAAAATAGCTAGTGCATTTACTTTCACATCTCATGTAAAAGAGTGCTTGCTTTTTGCTCAGCATACCCAATTCAGTTGTAACTTTTTTTCACTTGTGTCCTTTCTCACCTCAGAATCTCAAAGTACTCTGCAGACGTTAATTGTGAAGTAGGCCTTATTATACTTATTTTAGAGAGAGGTCATCCTGAGGTGCAGAGACCCATGGGCAGTGCCAGGAGTAGAACATGGGATTTCTAATTTCTGGACCATCTTCGTGCGATAAATAAGAAACCAAATTCTTTCCCAAGCAAGTTTAAATAAAATTTAAGAAAACCTCTTTCTAATTTCATTAAAAATCAGTAATGTCACTCAGCAAAAACGTGATTTCTTGAACAACAAAGCATGTCAAGAAACTTGCACTATAGGAATCTTTAGAATTTGGTAGGAGGATGCAGACCTCTTTTTAACACTTTCATGTGCTATAATTTTGCTTTCTGCATTGAATGATGGCTGTTACCTGTGTTGACCCCAGGAGTGGGATACTTTATTGTGATACTCGTGTTTGCAAAGGCATTATGTTTCTGCTGAAAGGAATAAATATGAGCTCAAGTGGAATGAAAATACCCAAGTGTTCCTGACATGGTTTGGATTCATCCCTTATTGTTTCAAGAAACTCTGCTTGCAGTGTTTTAAATAAAAATTCTGGCACCAAAATTGTTCAAACTTGTGGTTACCTATCGGTCGGTCATCGGTACAAGAGCACTGAGTGTCCAACATTCTTGATAACATAATTTTACCATTAAGAAATCTATATTTATGTGCAAACTAAATTACAATTTAATTAACCTTTTTTGAGAATTTTCTTTTGATTTTTTTTTTTTTTTTTGGAAAAAGTTTGTGATATTTTCATGCTCCTTGGACCCCCGAGTAGGTGGAAATGGGAGCCGGTGTTTTTCATTGTCCAGCTCACTCTACGTAGGGCCAGGAGAACATCAGTAAAAAGGCTGATGCAGAACGGAAGAGTTATTCACTCCAAAAGTTCCCCTCTTCCCCTTCCCACCATGCTGATTGTTGGGATTCCACTCAGCTTCCCAAGAATTCTGTTTGACTCTAGGCTTTGCCACTCAGATGTCTTTATTTGGCAAATAGCAATACCATACACAGTTGATCAGACTGAAACACATCAGGTATGGATGGATGGTGCATCACAGCTCCAAGTTACCCTCTCCCTTGTGTATACATTAAACATCTCATTGCATGTTTCAGAGGTAGCTGTGTTAGTCTGTTTTAGCAAAAACAACGAGGAGTCCAGTGGCACCATAAAGATTAAAAATTGTGTTACAGCATAAGGTTTCAAGAGTTGCAGCTCATTTCATTAGATGCATGGGAGGGGGAGGGGGAGAAGAAACAGATAGGGTTGCAGGGATGAGAGTGTTACATCTGAGCTAATTCAATCAGGTGCATGTGGATTAAAAAGGTGGGAATACCTAAATGAGAGAGCCATTCCCAGTCTCTGTTCAGACCCATTCAGATGGTGTCACATTTACATATTAATTCCAGCTCAGCAGTTTCATGTTGTAAAAGCTTGTTTTTTAATTTTTTTTTTTGGTGGCAACTTTCAAGTCTAACTGTTTCCCAGGAGGTTAAAATGTTCTCCTACTGGTTTTTTCTATGTTGCCATTCTTGATGTCTGATTTGTGTTCATTTTTTCACACGTTTTAGGATTTGCTTTGTTACGTTGCAGGAACCAGTTCCCATGCAGCATGTGCTGTCCATGGTTTGACTTGCTCTTTACCTCATCTCAATATTCCTATTACCTTATTTTGTCCCTAGTTATTTAATTGACAAGGTATAGTTCCCTGGGTGTTCTTCTGCTTGTCTTAGTTGGCTCAGACATTCTATGTTCTTAGCCTACTGACTTTTATTTAACACATATTGTGTTTTCAACCTGATGATTCATTTACGTCTCTAATTTTGTCTTCCAGAAAAATGAGATCATGAAGGAAGAAGTAATTACTCATGTCACAATAGGCCTCCACTACTCTGAAACTTATTCGAGTCTTCAGCTGCTTGATGAGCTTAATTACCCTCAGCATCTCCACAAGTTCAGCATCTCCACAAGTTCAGGTTATCTTCTCCAACCTCCACATCCCCTCTTCCGAGATTCATTTTCCACTCTGTTCCCCCATCTCCAGTCCCCACCTTCTCCTTGCACCTCTTGCTCATCACTCCCTATCTCAGGTTTCTCTCTCCAGTCTCATTCCCCTCTCCAGTCTCCGCTAAGAATGTAAAATCCTGTTTGTTTAGTTAACAGGTTAAAGGATATGTTTAACTGGTTAACCAATTAAATGAGGGTGGGCAGACAAGAGTGGCTCCCCTGCCACAGCATTGCTAGGCTGGGCCCACTGTGGACCGGAGTGGGGGGGGACGATGCATTCTGGGTGAGCTGAAGCGCCTCTGCCACAGCATGGCTGAGCTGGGCCTGCTGTGGACTGAGGGACCGCTCCAAGTGGACTGGAGCACCACCTGCTTGTGGTGGGCCCCATGGTGCTGGAGCAGCCCTCTGTGAGTCGTGAAGGTGGGGGGCTGCTTCAACCCCAGCCGGTTAACCATAACCATTAAGCATCACGCAGTAAGGGTAATGTTTACCAGTTAGCCATTCATATCCCTAGTCTCCACCTCCTCATCTTGTCTTCTGGCTTGGTTTTCCTCTCCTGCATGAATGTGTCTCGCTCTGGCATCCTCCCTCCTGGGTTCCCTCTCTTGGACTCTGATCTCTTCTACAGCCTTCCAGAGAATAGTTGAACACTTCTCAGACAGGACACTCACCAGGATAATGAAACTGATTAGTGTAGACTGATACTTTACTACTTTCTTAAGTCTTTAATTCTTAAAGGTTAACATTTCTAAATAATTCTTCCCTTGATAGAGCACCTTCCTATGATTCAAAGCTGCCCCATTTCCAAACATATAATAAGCAACGTGTCTCTATGAGAATTGAAATCTGTACTTATGCACCCAGATTCGTAGGCCCATGAACTGAGCTGCTGCTCAGTGATGGTGCACTTAGTGACCTGTTTAAAAATATGGGTCCCTGGGGATTTCAAAAGCTTTTTGTTCCTGCTTGCTGCCCAGGAGCTGGGTTCTGAAAAGTGGATAGGGAGGAGTTTGAGCTCATGGCCCTCTAGTGGCTCAGAGAAGGTCAGTGTAATCTGTTGCTCCATCCTAATGGATGGGACAAGAGGTTCCAGTGTTGCTTTGGGAGTGCGGTGGCTTCAGTGCGTTCTCTTCTGTGGGGTGTGGCATTCAAGCCACAATCCAGCCAGTGGGCAGGTACCTTTTATTAAAAAAAAAAAAAGGCTTGATTCTCAGAAATATGTCGTCTTCACCCCTTGTACTGACATTGGGGGAAGAAACAGGTGTTCAGCACCTCTGAACATCAAGCCACATACTTAGATGAATGACAATAGCATGAGACCATAATCAGGCCCAGAGTCTCAATTTCAAACAGTTTATCAAAGTTTTGTTCTCTGCACACAAGAATATTTAACGTGGAGGATCATATACAGTCAGACTTAGCAAAAACATATCCGCTGCCACTCTGAGACCAAGTTTGGAAGGTGTCAGCCTGAAAGGAATGTTATTACTATGGTTATGATTATCTAAAAAGTGGCTTTGTCTAGTAATTGCATATTAGCCTTAGCTGTAGTGTTGCTAGGCTCAGACTAGGACTGACTTAAGATATAACTTATCAGATGCTTCTGACTGTCTCACTCAAATTCCGTTTACTTGATTTGGAGAGCTGCATAAATAAGAACATAAGAACGGCCGTACTGGGTCAGACCAAAGGTCCATCCAGCCCAATATCCTGTCTCCCGACAGTGGCCAGCACCAGGTGCCCCAGAGAGGGTGGACCGAAGACAACGATCAAGCAATTTGTCTCCTGCCATCCCTCTCCAGCCTCTGACAGACAGAGGCCAAGGACACCATTTTATTCCCTGGCTAATAGCCTTTTATGGACCTAACCTCCATGAAATTATCTAGCTTCTCTTTAAACTCTATTATAGTCCTAGCCTTCACAGCCTCCTCTGGCAAGGAGTTCCACAGGATGACTACACACTGTGTGAAGAAGAACTTTCTTTTATTAGTTTTAAACCTGCTCCCCATTAATTTCATTTGGTGTCCTCTAGTTCTTCTATTTAGGGAACTAATAAATAACTTTTCTTTATCGGCCCTCTCCACACCACTGATGATTTTATAGACCTCTATCATATCCCCCCCTCATTCTCCTCTTTTCTAAACTGAAAAGTCCCAGTCGCTTTAACCTCTCCTCATATGGGACCCTTTCCAAACCCCTAATCATTTTAGTTGCCCTTTTCTGAACCCTTTCCAAGGCCAAAATATCTTTTTAGATGTGATCTCCTCACCTCTGTACACAGTATTCAAGATATGGGCGTGCCATAGTTTTATACAGGGGCATTAAGATATTCTGTGTCTTATTTTCTATCCCTTTCCTAACCGCTGCTGCACACTGTGTGGAAGTTTTCAGAGAACTGTCCATGATAACTCCAAGATCTCTTTCCTGATTTGTTGTAGCCAAATTAGCCTCCATCATACTGTACGTATAGTTGGGGTTATTTTTCCCGATGTGCATTACTTTACACTTATCCACATTAAATTTCATTTGCCATTTTGTTGCCCAGTCACTCAGTTTGGTGAGATCTTCTTGGAGTCCCTCACAGTCTGCTTCTGTCTTGACTATCCTAAACAGTTTGGTATCATCTGCAAACTTTACTACCTCACTGCTTACCCCTTTCTCCAGATCATTTATGAATAAGTTGAAAAGGATTGGTCCCAGGACTGACCCTTGGGGTACACCACTAGTTACCCCTCTCCAATCTGAAAATTTACCATTTATTCCTACCCTTTGTTTCCTGTCTTTTAACCAGTTCTCAATCCAAGAAAGGACCTTTCCTCTTATCCCATGGCCATGTAATTTACACAAGAGCCTTTGGTGAGGGACCTTGTCAAAGGCTTTCTGAAAATCCAAGTATACTATATCTACTGGATCCCCCTTGTCCGCATGTTTGTTAACCCCTTCAAAGAACTCGAATAGATTAGTAAGTCAGGATTTCCCTTTACAGAAACCATGTTGACTTTTGTCCAACAAATTATGTTCTTCTACATGCTTCACAATTTTATTCTTTACTATTGTTTCGACTAATTTGCCCGGTACTGAAGTTAACTTACCAGTCTGTAATTGCCAGGATCACCTCTAGAGCCCTTTTTAAATATTGGTGTTTATAAAGCCTCATTTATTTTTGTTTTAGATTCATTTAGGTGTATTATCCCTATAGAGAGAGCCAGAACTTGGTCCTTTATAAGTTTAGAAGACTATTGTTGTTGTTACTGATTTATCACAGCCTGAGCACATGAGAATAATTAAGAACAGTGTGTGCTTTTGGAAGGGTTTGGTGTATCTAAACACAAGCTTTTTCACAATATTTTTGGTAGCTTAGTAATTATGTACTATGATTCAAAACAAAAACCCTGACTCTGTTTTCTGTGAGCATAGTGAATGGTGTTTAAACCTTTGATTTGTTAGCTAGCTGAGATTTGTGTTATAGCTTCTTTCTCGCTGTGCCAAGGATAATCTTTGGGGGTAAACAGGGCAAGTATGCTTTTGCCTTCCTGTGTCTTCATCTGAATGCACCCTATTCTCTGTGTTCAAAGATGTACCAAGAACTGATTCTGAATGCTACTTCATTTGTCAAAAACCATTTCATGCTTGTTTGTAGTTTAATAAGCATCATATTTCAAAGTTTATGGTGGAGTAGGTAATTATAAAGAAAGATGCCAAGAAGAAAGGAAATCTTAATTGTTCTTACAGTATGCATTAAGGCTATGTCTAGACTACATGGCTCCGTTGACGGAGCCACGTAAAATAGTTTATTTGGCATAGGCAAAGAAGCGGAGATTTAAATAATCCTCGCTTCATTAAAATAAACATGGCCACCGTGCTGTGCCAACAATCAGCTGATCCGGCACAGCGCGGCAGTCTAGATATGCCGTGGTCGACAAGGGGAGCCTTTGTCGACCTCTCCGGTATGCCTTGTGAAACTTGCATCGGGTTAAATTATGATGCATCTGTGAAGAGGTTACTGGCACCTCGCGCTGATGTGATCCATGAGTTTATGGGCCCATTATCTAGGATTAAAGCAAAACATGTTAGCAGGGTTGTTTTGGTATCAGTCTCTCTTGTCTGATGCGGCCCCTTGGAATGTGGTTGCCAGGGCATCTGTGCCTTTTGTAGGGTCATGCTAACTGTCTGCTTGTGAGGTTTACAGGCCCGTCTCAGATTTAGGATTGAATGGGGGTTCTTAGCAAAATACCATGGGCTGCCTCAGTTTACCCTACAGGCCTACCTGCAAAGTTCAGATCCCTCCCCAAATTCAGTGATAATCAAATCTGATGCTTTCATTTCTGTCCTTGCTAGCTAGTCTTTTCATGAGGCAATTCAAGATTCCCCACTGCAGGTTGATGACAATCATGTTAGCTTGTTTGTGAAAGAAATACTGCTGTGATTAAGCAGCTGCTTTTCCTGGCAGTGTAAAGCTGTAATAGGTTTCTCTGTGAAAGCAAGTGATAAGAGTTATTCATATAGTTCCCAGGTAGCAATCTTCTTTTTCACTTCCTAGAGTTGATTCATCCTGAGCTCTGCTTATGCCACTCTAAGGCGTGTTCCCTAGTGACTATAGTGTCAGCTATATTGCTCAGTGTTGACACACTGATGTCATTTTGGGAATTACAAATCCCACAGCTTTCCAAGATGGCAAGTCTGCTTATGGAACTCAGCAACTTCAAGCCATGAATCTGTCAGCTTGCCTCTGGTTAGAACTCTTTAAAAGTCAAATGATACAGTAAATCTCCTGGGCTGATTCATGATTTACAGTGCCTCTGAGAGCTCCATATAGAGCAGCGGCATAGCGAGCAGTGATTTGGGGAGGGGGGTAGTTGTCCCCGGGTGCCATGCTATGGGGGCACCAATTTAGCTGCCTGTGAATAGCCTATTCACCACAGTCTGGGTGAGACAGTGAGACCCGACTTCTTTTTATGCTGACGCTCTG